GCCCGCCCTGCGCCCGGCTCCCTCTGCCCTGCGCAGCGCCATGGACGACCTGCGGGTGCTGTGGATGCGCGACCGCGTGTATGCGGCTTTCGGCATCACCGATCCCCAGCTTTTCGAGGACCTGCTCAACCGCGACGACGGCCAGGGCGAGGACCTCATCCTGCACTTCCTCAACCAGGCGAGCGAGGAGGAGGGCTCCTCGGCGCTCTTCATCTACCGCACGATGGTGCCGGAGGAGGTGGAGGTGGAGATTGGTGAGCCTCGACGCGCCGCTCCCTTCCCCGGGCTTCCCTCCTGCCCTCCCCGGCCTCCGACGGGTGTGGGGGCTGCTAGAGTCTGCCCATCGCCCGGCCCGGGCCTCAGGTGCTGTCCACAAACCCTGCCGCCCGCCACGTGCAGGCCCCGGGCGAACCCAGCAATCACAGGCGTCCCTGCCCTCCTGGGCCCGCAGCCCACTTGAAAGTCAGACCTTGATTGAAAAATCACAGCAAACACGGACTTAGCCCTCACCCCGTACCAGGTGCGATTCCAACGCTTGTATCAACTCCTTAACCCTACGAGGCGGGTGTGGCCTCATCCCCATTTTACAGATGAGCAAACTGGCGCGGAGGGGTTAAGTAACCTGCCCAAGGCCCGCAGGCAGTCAAGATCCACTGTGCAATAATCCAAACGGCTGGGTAGAGCCATGCCCAGGTGTGGCAGGGGCCCAGCTCACTGTCACTCTCCTTGACGGTCGCAGGGTCTCATGGAGGGTCCGAAGAGCACCCCTTTCTACTTCTGAAGGCTGCTCATATCCTGAAAAGTAAAGTAATGCTAAGACAAAGTTTTTAAAAACTACAGTAGACTTTAAATGTTTCTGTTGAACAAATTAGCATCGCAAATACCAAAACACAGTGACCAGGGTCCCAGAACCCTCTGTGGAGGCGGATTCCCAGCCCCACCTACTCTCTGATAGGCCCAGGGACACTGAGAGGGCAGGGAGGGGCCAGCACCGGTGAGAGGAGGAGGCAGGACAACTCTCTTCAGAAACAGCCAGGAGACAGGGACCTGGAAAGCTGCCTCCTCACAGGAGCACCAGCCGGAGCACAGCCGCCGGGACCTCCTGGCTGGCTATCTAGTCTCCTGGGCTACTTTTCCAGCCCCTTAGGGACTTGGGGATCCGTTGCAGGGCCTCTCACTGGATTTGGGCGGCAGGGCCGGCAGACCTTGGATTTTTTTTAAAGGTACCAGGCGCACCCATTTATTTTATTTTATTTTTTAATTTTCTTTCCTTCCTTCCCTCCCTCCCTCCCTCCCTTCCTTCCTTCCTTCCTTCCTTCCTTCCTTCCTTCCTTCCTTCCTTCCTTCCTTCCTTCCTTCCTTCCTTCCTTCCTTCCTTCCTTCCTTCCTTCCTTCCTTCCTTCCTTCCTTCTTTCTTTCCTTCCTCCCTCCCTCCCTCCCTCCCTTTTTTTTGAGATAGGGTCTCACTCTGTCACCCAGGCTGGAGTGCAGAGGTGCGATCTTGGCTCACTGCAACCTCTGCCTCCGGGGCTCAAGTAATTCTCCCACCTCAGCCTCCTGAGTAGCTGGGACTACAGGTATGTGTCACCATGCCTGGCTAATTTTTATATTTTTGGTAGAGACAGGTTTCACCATGTTGCCCAGGGTGGTCTGGAACTACTGAGGTCAAGTGATCCTCCCGCCTCGGCCTCCCAAAGTGCTGAGATTCCAGGTGTGAGCCACCTGGCACCCGGCCCTTTTTTTTTTTTTTTGAGACAGAATCTAGCTCTGTGGCCAAGGCTGGAGTGCAGTGGTACAATATTGGCTCACTGCAACCTCCACCTCCCTGGTTCAAGCAGTTCTCCTGCCTCAGCCTCCCAAGTAGCTAGGACTACAGGTACCCACCACCATACCCGGCTAAATTTTGTATTTTTAGTAGAGACAGGGTTACACCATGTTGGCCGGGCTGGTCTCGAACTCCTGACCTAAGGTGATCTGCCCACTTCGGCCTCCCAAAGTGCTGGGATTACAGGTGTGAACCATCACGCTTGGCCATCTTCATTTATTTTAAATATTCATTAATTGCTTGCACAAAATAAATCGTCTTCATCATAAATCCAAAACCATAAATAAACAACAATAACAAATCCTTAGTGCCATCTGGAGAGAGGACTATGTGATCACCTTTTGAAACTTAACCTTCCAGCCTATTATTTTTTCTCCCTGGCAGACCTTTGGACCTGGACATTAGATTATAACCGGACCTCGGATGTAGGCACTGCCATTGGCACCAAGTGAAATTACGGAAGCCAAAAACACACTCGCAGGATTGATCATTTCACATGTACCACCATTGCAGGAACTTGGGTTTCGTATACATTTAAAAAAAATTGGCCGGGCGCGGTGGCTCACACCTGTAATCCCAGCACTTTGGGAGGCCGAGACGGGCGGATCACGAGGTCAGGAGATCGAGACCATCCTGGCTAACACGGTGAAACCCCGTCTCTACTAAAAATACAAAAAATTAGCCGGGCGTGGTGGTGGGTGCCTGTAGTCCCAGCTACTCAGGAGGCTGAGGCAGGAGAACAGCCTGAACCCAGGAGGCAGAACTTGCAGTGAGCCGAGATTGTGCCACTGCACTCCAGCCTGGGCCACAGAACGAAAACTCTGTATCTGTCAAAAAAAAAAAAAAAAAAAAATTACAACAAGACCCTAAAACAATGGATGTGACTTGGATTTCTTGCAGAAGCTCTCCAAGGGCCTCTGTTAACGGTGGGGTGGCTGTTGTCTGCTGTGTTCACTAGCACGTGTTTAGTTCAAATGTCATCCTGTGTGGAAGCAGAGTTCAGTCTCACCTCAGAGGGTCCCCCTGGTTAATTCCTGGACCCTCCAAAGGGAGCTCAGAACTCTCCTACCCCTGCTCCCTGACCCGTTTCTGGGCTCTGTCCCTGGTCTTCCCTTCCATTCCCATCTCTTCTCCACTGTCACCTCATGGTGAAAAGCTGATGGATTCCTTGCTGAAGATGCTGTCTCTGGAAACTCTCAAAGCTGCGGATTCTGGAGGTGCCAGATGGCGTCAGGTGTTGGGGGTTCTGGCCAGGTGGGGAGAAGAGACCTCATCCCCAGCTCCACACACTGTCACGCACCCTCTGCTTGTTAAACCTACAGGCTCATATGAAACCCTTGAACGGTTTCCCTAGATTATTTTTGGGGGACAGGTGGTTCTAGTCCGTTCAGAGGACCTGCAGAGAGCCCAGTGTGTCCCTTCTTTCCTTTTTTTTTCCCTCCTCTTTCTGCCCCTCCCTTGGTCAAGATTTCTCTCTGCTCTTGGTTAAAAATGATAGGAATGGAGACAAACAGATACTGGGGCAGGTGGTGGTAAGAAAGGTGAGGTGTCCTTCCGGGCAGCGGATACCCAAGATACTGATCCAGTAGGTACTTGTGTTCCTTCTGGAAAAAACAAAATGGCATCATACTGTACATATCATTTAGTAACTTCCTTACATTTAAAGGAATTTCACAAATATTGCCAGACACATGTTCTCTTAAAAATTCACAGAACATAGAATTACCTCTAAAAAGAAAAAGCAACCCTTCTCCATCCCTTAGGCCCCAGTCCTGCTCCTATTCCTACCGGGTAACCACTATCATTAGTCTGGTGTGTTTCTGGTTGACTCTTTTGTCAGATTATCAGTCAATCAATCAATCAATCATCTACCAACTGACTGATCTGTCTTCCTACCTTCCTATACATCTATCTATCTATCTATCTATCTATCTATCTATCTATCTATCTATCTCTTGTCTACCTACCTACCTATTCATCTATTTCTCTCCTGCCTACCTACCTAATTATCTGTACATGTATCTATACATCTATCTATCTATCTATCTATCTATCTATCTA